CCCTGTACGCCTGGATTTTTGATGAAACCGGATGGTAACTTTACTAAAATTAACACCGAAACTCTGGAACTGCTTATGGAGACACACTTTCCGGGTTGCAGAGATGATAAAAATGAAGGCTTCCCTTTGGAGCACCTCGCAGCTTCTAGAATCCACATAAGTGAATTAGTCAGTTCCATTGTTAGTATGGGGAAAATTTCGTGGGCGGCGTCATCCTTCAAGCCCTATAAATCTCCAGGGCCAGATGGCATATTCCCAGCACTACTCCAAAAATCGATCATGCCATGGCTAATGATGATATTTAGGAGCAGCCTGGAAACAGGATATATTCCTAAAGTATGGAGAGTGGTTACAGTGGTATTTATCCCAAAAGTGGGAAAAGTAAACCATAGTTCCGCCAAAGACTATAGGTCGATCAGTCTGTCATCGTTTTTATTGAAAACATTGGAAAGATCTCTCTCCTGATCATTTTTGTAGGACACAACACGCATACCTGAAAGGGAGGTCGGTGGAGACATCCTTACATGACGTTGTCGGAACTATAGAGAAGGCACTTGACATAAAATAATATGTTATGGCTCTTTCTTAGACATTGAGGGTGCGTTTAACAACCTGAACATATCCGCAACAGTCGATGCACTGGATGACCTAGGTGTTGATCAGCGGACAAAAACTTGGACAGAAAACATGCTCAAGAGCAGGGCCATTAACTCTAATATGGGTATTGGCAAGACAAGGAAAGTTTTGACAAGGGACACACCACAAGGTGGTGTCATCTCTCCACTCATGTGGAATCTTGTCGAAAATAAAATCCTTTTCAGACTCAGTAGTATGGGCTTCAAAGCAGTCGCATATACCGACGACGTTGTTCTACTATCATGAGCCAAGGTAATTGGTCTGGGTATCAACCCGGCCAAAACTGAAATGGTTCTTTTCACCAGGAGGTACAAAATTCCAAAATTCAGACCTCCGCGTTAGGATGGTACCATTCTGAATACCTCAAGCGAAGCTAAATATCTTGGCGTAATCTTAAACTCTAAGCTCACGTGGATGTCTTCTCAATCGTATTCAATCATTGGCACAACTGACACAACATCACGTTGAGTTGATATGGGTTCCAGGACATGAGGGCATCCGGGGAAATGAAATATCTGATGAATGCGCAACCAAAGGGTCGTCCCTAGATTTAACCCTTGCGCAAAAGGATATTCACAACCTGACAACCCTATCAAAATTGATAGATGAATGGGCTTTGAGTGAGACGGAACTCAGGTGGTCAAATATCAACCTAACCTTCGTTGTTGCAAGGAATTTGTTAAGTAAATTATTTCGGTTTTATAGCCATCACCTTCGTGAGAAGGGTTTATATAAGTTTGTCATTCCGTTTGTAATTTCCTGAATATAATTTTCCGACTTTATATATGTACTAGCTAAAACCTGTCGATATAAAATAAAACATTTTCAAAATATATTGATATACATTTTTGGTTTATAAAAATTTGATTAATATCTGTTTGTCACTATCCAAAACCATAAAGTAATAAGACAAAGAATGTTTGATATTTAAAGTATTTTATTAATTAATGATATTTATGTACATATATTATTTCTTAATAATTATTTCTTATTCCTATTCATTAGCATAAATTTACAAAATATTAAAAAATTACTAAAATATAATTGACTTTATATTTACAATTAAAATTTTTCTTAATAATTATTTCCTATTCTAAAGCCTTGGGATATACAATATTTTTCGTTTTCCCCTCAGGCGCGTAGATATACAAATCTGAAGGTTTCTCAACTCGCGAGCATGCAACATAAAGCTGACCATGTGAGAAGCATGGATTTTCGAGATTTATTCCACACACTTGCAGGGATTGACCCTGAGATTTGTTTATTGTCATCGCGAAAGCCAAACGTATAGGAAATTGCAACTGTTTAAAGTCGAATGGCATTTCTGATGTTGTCATTGGGATCCGAGGTAGTAAGACATCCGTTCCTTTATATTGGCCAGTTATAATCGTTGCTTCGATTAAGTTGTTCATTAATTTCTTAACTGTTAATCGAGTACCATTACAAAGACGTGGTGGATCAGTATTTCGCAATAAAATAATTGGAACGCCAATTTTCAACTTCAATTCGTGGGGATACATTGACGACATCATCATTATTTGTAACAGCATCGATGGATTTATATGTTTTTAAATTACCATCGATTCTATTCAAAATAATATTATTGATACAATTAACGTAAATGTTTTTGGGTGCCAGTAAAGCACGCTCACATAACCACAATTTATTAACTCTTCCTTTGATTGTGTGCTCCTGCAAAAGTTGGAGGGAAACTTTACACAATTTGTGGTTGGCTCAATTGGCATTTTTCCATTTCCTAAATCCAGCAATTGTTTTGCAAAATCTGAAGTTGAATCATCATTTTGCAACTGTACACGCATGTTTGTTGTTAATTTTAACGTGTGAACATGTTGCCAGAGATATGATGATTTCAGGCAAGCATTGAGTTCATCAGCCGGTGTTAAACCAGGTATCACAGGAAGTGTCTGGCGAAAATCACCCGCTAAAAGAATTAATACACCTCCAAATAAATTAGAATTACTTCTCATGTCCTTTAAAGTGCGATCAAGCGCTTCTAAGGATTTTTTTGTGGGCCATGGTGCATTCATCCCACACTATTATTTTATATGTTTGCAGGATTGTACCTATTGAAGAATTTTTCTTAACATTACATGCATAATCTTCAGAAAATTGTGTTTTAATGAGACGAGAAAGGTTTTTCCGGTTCCTCCTGGCGCATCAATGAAATAAAATCCTCCTTGTAAGAAATAATTATTAAGAAAAAATATGTACATAAATATCATTAATTAATAAAATACTTTAAATATCAAACTTTCTTTGTCTTATACTTTATGGTTTTGGATAGTGACAAACAAATATTAATAAAATTTTTATAAACAAAAAATGTATACAATATATTTTGAAATATATATATATATATATATATATATATATATATATATATATATATATATAGATAGATAGATAGATAGATTCATATGGGAGGTGCCAAGCTCCGCTTATGAAAGTCCGCCCATTTTTCTCGCAAATATTCATATGTTAAAGGTCATCGTGCAAAATTTTAAGATTATAACTCCAATAGTTTTCCAGATAAACGAATTTTGGTATTTAATTCCTATGGGAGATGCCACGCCCCCTATTGGTAGTCCGTCCTAAATATTCATGTCGATACCACAGTGGCTCCAAAAAAAATTGAGGACTCTAGCTGTTATATTTTCTCAGATATACTAATTTAAGATTTTCTTTATATGGGAGGTGCCACGCTCACTGTAGCTATGCTGCCCATTTTGTCAACATGTGTTCATATGAATGTCAAAGTTGTTCATACAAAATTTGAGGACTCTAGCTGTTGCAATTTCTGAGATATGCGACTTTTAAGACTTATTTTGTACAAACAAACATTTTCATTCATTTTTATATACATATATAGATATTCTGTATGCTTATAGAAATCGGAGTCAATTTAGCCATTTGTATGTATGTATGTTGAAATCAGACAACCGAGACAACCCCGGAAAATTTCATCAAAAATTGAAAATTTTCGTGCATGCTTAAGGTGGTATTAGACGACATGTATTTTACATATGTACTGTCACTGTTTTTATCCATATGTAATTCCGAATGCATGTCAAAATTGTTATTATTAAATTTTGTTATTTTAATTGCTTGTTTATAAACGTTGTTAGAGCCCGGATTAAGCGAGAATATAGAACTCTTACTTGTTTAATAATAAAAAGTCCCAGCGAGAATACGAACCAGGGACTTCGGTTTGTTAGTCAAATGTTCTATCCAGTGCACCACAGCTTAGCTATTTTACTGCGCGTAAAATAATGGTTTTCACATACAAATTTAATTTTGTTTTCTTTTTCTAAAACTCAATTCATAACTCGCAATCAAAAAAAAAAAAAATGTGCAAACAAAATGGAAGACAGTAAGTAGTTGTTATTGAAAAGTTTGTTGTTGAGTAAGTACTAAGGTGATCGACTCGATTTTTCAACCGGTTTTAAAACCGGTTTTTTCTGCTTTACCAGTGTCGGTTTTTTCTTAATGTTGATTTTTCGAATATCGAATAACCCGGTTTTTTCACTTTTTAAAAACCGGTTTCGAATAGTTTTATTTGCTTTGTATTCAAAGATTATTTAAATGAAATTTTTAAGTAAATAATAATACAGCCCGTCTAAATTTCAAAAATATTCGAGTCGAGGGACTAGCGTATATTTTTCTACAGCTCCTTTGGTTAAACTTTTTTGATTTTCCTAATTAATTAAAAAAATTTATTTCTAAAATTGATAACTGTTTCATAAAATTTTATCATTATATTATATTATATTCCAATTACAATAATTAATTTACGGCTGAAATTTTATGGAAGTGTTGGATTGCCTATGAAAATTTCCTAAACAGGGCTTTCAAAATAAGCTAGGATAACATAGTACCTTATGTTTAACAGAAGTGTTCCACTTTTTTCCTAATTTTTTTATATTAAAGAAATAATGTAAATCAGACGACTAGATCTAAAGTTATAATCTTTTAAACTGTTAAAAATCATTTCGGGCGATGTTTTATTAATCAAATTAAACATAAACATTAAGTTTTTCAAATTAAAATATATTTTTTTATTTATGATGAAAAACCGGTTAACCGGTTTTTTCTGAATTTGAAAAATATCAACCGGTTTTTTTTAAATTTCAACTATTCGAACTATTCGAAAACCGGTTTTTGGAAAATGTCGAATAATCGATCACCCTAGTAAGTACAAGTTCTTACCAAATCTCACATATGTGTGTGATTTTTTACTAACACAATCAAAAAACTTACCGCTTGAGGCAGCCAATTTGATGTGTCGCCAAGCCGCTTATAAATTCTCAAGTTATTTTCTTAAAGATACTTTTTTATTTTTGCAGAACTTTTGCAACACAATACGACTTTTGGCCCATTTCGGAAATTGGGCCGTTTATTTGGCAGTTGTTTACGACAAAACACCAACTCATCAACGATTAGACTGGTTTTGGATCAATTAGGAGGCTATTTGCCGATTGGAGCACTTGGTCCATCTAGTATTTCCCAGCTAATATCAAAAATATATGAGCTAGGTCCGACGCCTTTAATCGACATTTACTACGATTTAAGTTATGGAAAACGCCCACACGTTTTACTGATTATAAGTGGTCCCAGTACAACATCGCCCATTCTAGAGGTAAGTAAATTTTTTTTATAAATATTTAAGCTGACTACACCTATTTTAATATTCAGTAAAACGACATTTCAAAATTTTCAAATAAAATGAAAAATATAATAGTGTAGATACAAAATGTTATGAAACAAAGTATAACAAGTAGTCCGACTCTCACGTACACGAAATTCCACCTCCACATTTACGGGTGCTGTGTGAATTCAACACCTTGGTGAGAAATATTAGTGTGTCAAAATACTTAAAATTTCTTACTTACATTTTCGAATTAATAGCGAGTTCTACGTAAAATCTCACCCGTCCGCAGAAAAATTAAAATTTTTTAAAATACTTTTACGAAATGTTTTCTTTAAAATTCCGTTTATTTTGAGCAACCTGAAAATTTTATATTTTATTTACTATTGACATTTAGTTTTTGTTGTTGTAGAATTTTAATTTAAAAGCAGAGTTACATATTTTTGTATTGAAAATTCAAACAAATACAATTTTATGAATTTTTATAAAACTCTGTATGTCTGGTGAAAATTTTAAATGGTCAAATAGATGTACATTTTTGTTACTAATACAAATTTAGAGTTAGGTAATTTTTCACTAACACATGCTTAGAGTTAGGTACTGCTGTCAAAGAGTCGGACTACTTGTTATACTTTGTTACGAAACTTACTGAAAATACTGATAGAAAATTGAAAGTCGTATAATTTTTTAAAATTTTTTGAAAAATTTCTAAACGATTGGATTTTCTCATTTTATCCGAGTTTTATTTTTATTTAAACACAGAAAAGAAGAAAAACAGAAACAAAATCCAATTTAAAATTAAATTTATGTTGTTTTCCTTTGAATTGTTTCATTTTATTTCAAATGTGAAAAATTATTTTCCATTTGATTTTTTTTGATAATCATACCAATTTTCATTTTATTTTGTTTTGACAGTAAGAAATTCAAATCTAACGATTTGAGATTTAGTAGTAATTTAAGTGGTTGTCATATGAATGCCTAAAAAATAAATATAATTAATAAAAAAAAAAAAAAAAATAGAAACAACACAACCCATTCGTTCCCACTGTACTCGCTTGGGTACAAAAAAACAACCGGTTTTATAATGCTAGATTATCCATTACTGAGTTTTTTGTAAATTTTGATTTTTGGAATATTACTTTAGAATCTAAAGAGTAAATGTACCGAATTATTAAATCATAAAAACATAACGGTAAATTTTAAATAATTTTTTTTGTCAACAGAGTTTTTAAATATTTCGATTTTTCGCACCTTTCATTGCAATTTGATGTCAAACTTTTTCACTTTGATTTGAATGGATTAGAATTTTACTGAAAACTGAAGTAAAGAGATCAGGTCATTAGGATTTTGTTAAAAAATTATTAAAATTTTATTTTTAAGTTTATTTTTATAAGCTTAAATATTGGTGTACTCGCTTGGGTACAATGGGACTACCCATGCATATTTTTTCATATATCTAAATTATATTTTAAGGATGTTTATGTCCTTTTTGGTAAAGAATTTAGAAGGCTTGTAGGTGCTACTGATAATCTTTATAATAAAATCAGTTCACATTTAGATTTTTTCATTACTTTTCCAAAAACAAAATAATTAAAATTGGTTTTACAATTTTTTTATTTACAAATACAAATATGTACCCATATTGTCCCGCTGTACCCATCCGAGTACAGCGCAAAAATCGCATTTCCAACATTTAAATTTTTTTTATTTTTAAATTTTATTTTAAATTAACCCATAATGAGATACATTTTGCAACAAATAATATAAATTATTTGATTTTAAGATGGTTGGGATCTAATGGGTTAAGGTATATTTAAGAAGGTGTGCTCATCCGCGCAGCTGATAATCAACTGTTTAAAATGTAAAAATATTTTATTTGCATAATTTTTTAAATATTTTTTATTGATTTGAGAAATACAAATTATATTTTTTTCAGAGACAGAAAATAATTATTATCTATGAAATTTTTGCTTAAAAAAATCAGTATGAAAGAATCGTCCTAGAAATGTTTTGAATGTAGCAAAATATTTCCCAGATTAATCGATTTCTTCAATAAACATTTTTTTCTTGATTTTTATAATAAAAATTGAAAATAAAAATTATTTTTGATTTTTATTCTATTTGTTACAATAAAAAATTATTTATGTTTATACTCTACACCAACATAGTGGGGAGGGTATTATACGTTTGTGCTGATGTTTGTAACGCACAAAAATATTGGCCCTACACCCACCTTATCCATGTAAACCTTGTGCGAAAGGTATAGCTTGCAATTTTCAATATATTTTGATGAAATTTGGACCATAAGTGTTTTTCGGCCCAACGACGTCTATTGAAAATGGCTGAAATCGGTCCATTATTTCACCTAGCCCCCATACAACCCTACCCCCCGAAAAGGGTTTTTGTGTTCATAATTATCTTAAATATTGTAGTATCTCTACAAAAATCGGCAAAACTTAGTTCTATATACGTCTTAATAATACTACCAATTTTCTTAATTATCGGACATTATTTGACCCTAGCCCCCATACAAAGTCCCTTTCAGAATATGACTTGAAGGTCAATAATTCACTAATAAACACTAGTATCACTATGAAATCCAGCATACATAACTCTAATGTAAACGTAAAGCCATGTACCAAAATTTATAAGGATAGACCCATATTTACCCTTGCCCCCATATAACATCTCTTTTAAAAAATCACTTTTTTCAACAAATTGTTAAAATATTTCGGAATTAAGGTAATCAACTTAAATGCTTTGTTATTAAATATAATCCAAATTTTTAACATACTCAGTGGTGTAGGGTATCATATGGTCGGCCATGCCCGACTATACTTTCCTACTTGTTTATTATTGATTCTGAGTCAATTAAGGTAATTGGATGAAATTTGGCACACACTCCTTTTTCGGCTCAAGGACGAAGCCTATTGAAAATGGTACATTATTTCACCTAGCCCCCATAAAACAGAACCCCCGAAAAGGGCTTCTGAGCTCATAATTATGTTAAATATACCTGTATATTGATAAAAAGCGACACAATGACCTTGCCAAATTTCATAGAGATCGGACCTCATTTGACCCTAGCTCCCATACAAAGTCCTCTTCAGAAAATTACTTGAATGTCCAAAATTAACTTATAAACACAAATATAGCGATGAAATTAAGCACAATAAAATATTATGTAAATATAAATATATTCACAAAATTTTATCAGGCTTGGTCCATATTTGCCCCTAGCCCTCATATAAAGCTTCTTTCAGAAAATTAGTTTTTCATCCATAAATTGCTTAAATGTATCGGAACAAGGTAATAGAAGATAAATGCTTTATTATGAAAAATAAATCACATTTAATATTCATAACTGGTGTAGGGTATCATGTAGGGTGATCGATTATTCGACATTTTCCAAAAACCGGTTTTCGAATAGCTCGAATAGTTGACATTTTAAAAAAACCGGTTGATATTTTTCAAATTCAGAAAAAACCGGTTAACCGGTTTTTCATTATAAATAAAAAAAATATATTTTGATTTGAAATACTTAATGTTTATGTTTAAATTTGATTAATAAAACATGGCCCGAAATGATTTTTAACAGTTTAAAAGATTATAACTTTAGATCTAGTCGTCTGATTTACATTATTTCTTTAATATAAAAAAATTATGAAAAAAGTGGACACTTCTGTTAAACATAAGGTACTATGTAATCCTAGCTTATTTTAAAAGCCCTGTTTAGGAAATTTGCATAGACATTCCAACACTTCCATAAAATTTCAGCCTTAAATTAATTATGGTAATTGGAATATAATCTTAAGATTGATAAAATTTTATCAAACAGTTATCACTTTTACAAATAATTTTTTTTAATTACCCCCTTATTTTGTAAAACACTTCACCTTGCGTTGAAAATATTTTCATAAAAATTTTTTAAAATACAAAAACAATTTATATGAAAAATTTAGTGAAGTGAGGGGAAGGGATTTACAAAATAACCCCCTTAATTAGGAAAATCAAAAAAGTTTAACCAAAGGAGCTGTAGAAAAATATACGCTAGTTCCTCGACTCGAATATTTTTAAAATTTAGACGGGCTGTATTATTATTTACTTAAAAATTTCATTTAAATAATCTTTGAATACAAAGCAAATAAAAGTATTCGAAACCGGTTTTTAAAAAGTGAAAAAACCGGGTTATTCGATATTCGAAAAATCAACATTAAGAAAAAACCGACACTGGTAAAGCAGAAAAAACCGGTTTTAAAATTGGTTGAAAAATCGAGTCGATCACCCTAGTATCATGTGGTCGGTCACGCCCGACTATAGCTTCTTACTTGTTTATTATTGATTTTTATTTGAAAAAGTTCTCATTAATTTTTACGGAAAATATAAAAAAATCAAATCAAAAGCAATTTGTATTTTCTGAGAAATGAAATACAAACCATATGCAATTTTTAATTTTAATTTTTTTAAATAAAAATAATAACAATTACTGTCTCTGATTTTTTTAGCTTGTGTAAATATTAGGGATTCAATTATATACAGTGGGCAGTTTCGTATGTTTGGATGGCTATGTGTTTCATGGCCTTGTGTATAGTGTTTTTGTTTCTTGGTGTATTTAACCACTAAACAATTTTTGCCGAATTCGTACCGACAGTCTGCACAAGTTGCCGATTTCGAATCCGAATTCCGTTAGAATTCGTTACGAAAATTGCATGAAAGATTCCTCGGAATTCGGAAATTTTGTCTGAGGAAATTCGGCAAAATGTGCAGAATTCGGACAAATCTGATTGAAGTCGGACAAATGTCTGATAGCATGTCTGACATTCTTCCGACATTTCGTACGAAAGTCTGATCAAATATAAGAAAGTCTGATAGATGTCGGATAAATGATTGATTAAATGTCCGACAGTTCGTTCAAAAGTCTGATAGATATCGGATAAATGTCTGATAAAATGTCCGACAGTCGTACAAAAGTCTGATTTTTTAATTTTGAT